TCCCTGGCCGACGCACCCCTTTACCTCGCTAAACCTCTAATGAGACTTGTAAAGAGGAAAGGTTGGGCATGAGGCTAGCAACCCCATTCTGTGAAACAAACACTGTTACAGAAACTTCAAGCCACTAGCTTGAAGTTGCCCTATGTTCCACTGGGGAACGTGAAGGAAATCATACGATCGGGTGTGAGGACAAATACTTACCGAAGTCATTGGGTAGTGGTTGCCCTATATCGTGAATTGGCAGAAGTTAGAATTCATGGACTGGCCATTGGATCAGGTCCCAATGGCTTAATGGTCTACGAACCTTGTAACCAGAAGGTCCTGGGTTCGAACACTATCGACCAGTGCGTGCTGCTGAAGATTCCCAAACTAGGACGAAACAGCTGTCCAGTACTTCCAGGTTTTCCAATGGTTCTCTAACCAATATCAGCTCATGATGAAATCCTGTAACCAATCAAGCAAATCTTTACAAACCAATACTTGAATACCTGATATTTAATTGCCACCTGTTGAATCTATTGTTTCTATTGAACCCTATTGTTTATCGACATTTAATGTGGGATCGAAACGTCGTGTAAACGGCAGGAAAAGTGTTTCAACCTCGGGTGAAACTATATGAAACTCAACAATTCAAGCTTTTTGTATTATTAATAACATGTTCAACGGGATATTTTAGTTACAGACCAGCGTAATTGCTTATCACCAATGATATTCTTAATTGTGGTAGATTGGATTATGTGACAGAATGTGTGTGTGTGAGAAGTGAGAAGACAGGAATACGTTGGACGACCAATAAGAAGACTCCATCTAGAAGATCTGTATTTCGCGTGTGAACGATTCATGTTTAATGTCATGCAAACTCGAAGACGTACAGGCGAAAACCAACAAATTGACTGATGAGGCTGCCAGAGAAGACAGGTGTCCAGGTGAACACATCATAGATAGAGGAGGTGAAAATTGTCAACTAAAAACAACGAGTGCTAGTCACTATCAAAGAGAGAGAGAGATTTGACAGGGGTTACTTGCTTCACTTATCTAGGAAGCATCGTTTCAACTATAGTAGGACAGAATGGATGAAGATGTTCAAATCAGCCAGAATAAAAAAAAACAAGATACTCCTTCATCAACCTGAAACCAATTTGGAAATCCTCTGCACTGACTCAGTCGGCATAAGGAACAAGACTCAGATTTTAAACACGAATTCGAAGTCAGTCAGTTCATGCATGTTGCGAAAAGGATTTCTGACAGGTTTCAGAATATTATCAGTGGCTGCCTTCGCTAGCTCCATACTGAAGATCAAATGGCCATAAAGAATAAGTACCAAGAAACTCTGGATGAGAAAGAACCAACCAAGAATGGATCGCTCAAAAAATATGTAGGAGAAAATTTGGAGTGGATCAGGCAGACATTAAGGAGGCTGTCGGACAACATCGCGCTCAATGCAGATCATCGCTCGAGTGGAGTCTAAATAGGAAACGACGATTTGATGGTCTGTCCGAGGGTGACATGAAGGCGATGATATATAATTGGTGATCGTGGACCCAGCTGAAGAGGACAGCAGAAAATAAAAGAAAGTGGAGATGTGTTGTTGAGGCCAGTCATATGTTCCACTCGGAACCCAAGGGAATAATAATAATAATAAAGTAATCGATTATTCCACGACATTTCACTATGATGACTTATGAAACTAAAAATATAGGCATAAATGTTTAAGGGGTTTTAATTATTCGTCTCCAACTCAGTCATGTGATATCTCCTGAAGTATACAACTACGGGCAATATTCACATTGCTTATTTGAATAAACAACGCTTCAAATACCTATACTTGTTACTTTATTTGATCATTATAAAAATATTGTTCATCCTTTGGGTTCTAGGTGAAACCTAGGCGTTCAGTAGCCCACCTTCACTAGCTCTACAATTGCCGATAAGCTTTCTTTTATTCTTCTTCACTTAACCTCCTTCATATCACCTGCGGATGCCCATCTCATAGCTGCCTGTTTCGGTTAGACTGAAGGGTCTACTTGGCGCTTGGCACCACTCATTGATGTCCTCAGAGGATGTCTAATATATCCCGATTCCTTTCCGCATAGATTTTGGGCAACAGGTTCTTGGTTGATTCCTTGCCTGCCTGTGAAATCCTTTTTTGTTCATCCTTTCTGGCAATAAGACTTTCAGTATCAGGCAAAAGCACTTGTTGACTAGAATGTGCAGCAGTCTGTTGGAAATGCTCATGGTGACGGACACATCAAGTCTCTGAAACATATTGAAGCACTGAAATGACATTAGTGTTCAAAATTTAGAACTTCTTCCTTGTACCGCGTGCAGTAGATCTACGCACTGATTTTAGAGTAATAAAGGTCTGTCTCGCTTTCTTGGTCCTCGCTTTCAAATCCTGATTTGTTGTCGTGTTTGCTGTTTGGGTGTTTTTATCACCTCTATTTTCTTTGTGTTCTCCATAAGTCTTATCATTGATGTCTATCGTGGTAACCTGTTGGTTTATGAGACACAAAGCATAAATTACCCATGAAGTACAGATATTCTTACGTCATTTTGTCAATCCAAAGCATGCTTGTCCTTGCACTTCACACAGTCTTTAGTATGATCCAGTCCGTTGCGAATTATTGATTTAAGTAAAAAAATTGGGCACTATGGTGGTAGAGTATAACATCATTATATATAAGATTTTATTCTGATAAGTCACACAGTGTTACACAGCAATATTAACTGATGACGTTTCGAGCACAAACTATTGCTCAAAACCATGTCAAGCTACTCACACAACTGTTTCCTTCATTTACATACATCAGTGAAATTGATAACTAGACATTTGAATAAAATTTAATGTAGGATAATGTACATTCAGAAATAATAATATGGGTGTTACTGATCAATTACAATCAGATGGGAAATAAGACGAGTGTTTTTATAGTGAAATAAATAAATAACTTGTTAAAATGTTGTGATGTGTTTGAATTGAAATAGAATTTTAAGATTATTTATTATGCTCCTGTGATTCGACTGACTGGTGGTAATAATATCTTCCATATCTCTGGAATTTGCGTTCGGTCATTTCTGTTGCATGTGTTGGGTGTAGGTTGACTCGATGAACCAGGAAACAGTAGTCAATCTCTCCACCTACGTATATTTCTTCTTAGAATTTTAACCCTATCCCACCCTACTGTGTGGTTGTGTATTACGTGTAATACGTGAAGTGCAATCACTGCGATTTTTTCTGAATTACTTATCTTCGCGAGTGGGATCAATCATTCTAAACTTAGCTCAATTCTGAAAGTGTTCTGATAATCTCACTACTCCTGATCTACTAATGTGACCTATCGAAGAAGACATTGCGAAATGGTCGCGCTGTGTCATGAATTGGCAGAAGTTAGAATTCATGGTCATTGGATCTGGTCCCAGTGGCTCAATGATCTACAAGCTCGGTGGCCTAGTAACCAGAAGGCCGTGTGTTCGAAACCTGTCGATGGTAGATGAGGAATGTTGAAGAGTCACAAGCACTGCCCAGTACTCTCAGATGGTTTCCCAATGGTTCTCTAACTGATGTCAGCTAATGATGAACACTTCCATCCCATCAAACAAAATCCCTACAAAATCTTCACTTGAAATAAGTATAAAACTTGGGCACTGTGGTAGAGTGTAACTCCACTATGGATACGAATTTATTTTGATAAATCACACAGTGTTGTGCAGTTAAATTAACTGATGACGTTCCGAGCACAAACTTTACCGCAAGAAAAGACCTAAATGACGACATAAAACAGACAGAAGAAGCATTGGTGTTGAATAACTATCCGATAAAATTCCTTTGGAAGATCACTAATATAAATATAACATCCATCACATTAGATCTTTATCCAAACATCCTGTCTATTTTGTTATTTCTACATTTCTTACCCCTAAATGCAGAATGTCAATCTGCTTAGTAATTATGATGCTACTTTGTTTGTTTTATCCATCCCTCTGTTTATTATAGCATTCTAATTCCTGATTTTAATTTTTATTAATTTGACCCTTAACCGGAAATTATTCTGGAACTTTCCCATCCATTTCATATAAATACACGAATGTACAGCCTAGATGACGGTGACTTCGTCGAAAAGAAAATTTTCTTCGCTGCAATTGTCTTCTTATTAACTCCTATGACCCAATGTGTATATTCCGTGAAATATAACAAAATAAAAATAATTTTAAAACTAATAATGATAACATAAATAAGAGAGAATATAAGTCATCTACTGTTATACCATATAAGGAGGGGACATCTGAGCCCCTCCCTACGTAGGATTTTTAATAAAGCAGGAATTAGGCTGGTGGTATTCAAACCTACAAACTCACTCAGGGACAGGTTCTGTAGGTTAAAGGACCCTGCAGTGACGGTGAGTTAGGTCAACTACATGGGCCAAACTAGTAGATCGGTGGTAGCCAGATTGTCGTAACATAAGAATTTAGCTAATATAAGAATGGTTGACTCTGAGAAGATGAGTGATTTAGAAGTAAGCACTCAGCTATTGCACTTCACGCATTAACAAACAATCACACAATAGGGTGGTGGGAGAGGGTTAAAATTCTAAAAAGTAATCTATGTAGGTGGAGAGAGAGACAGGTTGATTACAGAATCCTTGTTCATCTAGTGTACACCCAAATTATGAGCGAAAATTTGTGCTGGAAACATCATCAGTTAATATGACTGTATAAACACACTGTGTGATTTATCAAATTAAAATATATTATCCATGATGGATCCACACTTAAAAATTAGCACTTTATATCCAGTAAATATATATTCGTTTTTGCTTTTTTCTACAAATTTTGCATTGTTCAGTCTATAACCTACATACATTTCAATCTTATCTTTCTCCAGGTGCCATTCAATTAAAATCGTCAACTGCCTTCATATACTACATACGCTAGAATAAAAAGACGAAGTTATTGCACATGTGAAAAAATAGAAACTGCTAATTTTCTTTTTATATTCAATTATGAATAATAATTTATTTGATGATCAAATCCCAGCTGAAGCTGTTCGTTGGCTCCATTTTCGTCGTTCAGGTGGTGTAAGCACATGGAAACCATTTTGTGGTTATGATTCACTACGTCTTGAAACAGCTTATCGTGAACGAGCAAATGGTAATACTGATCCTGCATATGCTAAGATTATTGTACGTGGAGAAATGTTCGAGGTAGACATGGAGAGTAATCTGTGTATCCCAATTTATTGGTTTGGTAAAAAACGTTCTGTACATAATAAGAAAAGAACATGGTGTTCAACACCCGTCATCCGATGTGTATGGTTTCAAAAAATCAATTGGTTACCAGTGGATACAAAGTTGTCAGAAATTATTGAATATGAACATCGTACATATGCAATACCAAAATTGAAAGAAGCTACAAAACGAACGCATAAACGTAAATACTGATTCACTTATATTATATGAGGGTATAATAGTAATAATAATGATAATAATTTTATGTTATATTTATTTTCAAAATAATGGATACTGTGCAAAGAGTACTCTTCTCGATAACCCCTTCATCACCAGGCTCTACAGTTATATATCAACCCACAATAGTGAATAAATGAATTAGTGTTATGAACAACATTAATGTTGCTGTTTAAATAACATCGAATCAATAATACTGATAGATTACAGCTCAATAGCATTAACATAACAATAAACTGAATGTCAGAAAAATTAGGAAAGATAACAATATTACAAATTCATGAATTTTTAGTCTCTACTGAAGGTCGGCCAGGCCAGTAGTAGGGGCTGACTGGACGTGCTTCTTTTGAACACAGAGCATTGCTTGTTTGAGGCGAATTACAATAACCTCTACTGTTTGGAGCATGCGGTGCTTGGATGATTTCGGCAATTTATTAGGCATCCGATAGATGATGACAGAGAAGGGTTCTTCCACGCTGCCTTTCTTTGTGGCCGGCCGGTTTGCACCAGATGGTCCAATATCGAACTGTTATTGGTTTTCACTACACCTTTACTTAGCCATAGTGGGAGATGTTTTCGAGGGAGCATGTAAAATCAAGTTGCTGAGGAAACGGCCGATATAACTCGCTCCACCACACGTGCAGCTGATTTGGTAGATACGATTTGAAGTGGCTAGTCTAGGTACTTCATCTTTCAGTCAAGGTAGCAATTTTAAGACTGGCGAACTACACGTATTATTCTTTACACGACCGATGATGCTACTTCGACTGAAAGATGAAGTACATAGACTAGCTAGCCACTTCAAATTGTATCTACCAATTCATCTTCGCTTGTAGAACGAGTTATATCGGCCGTTGCTCTAGGACTTTGATTTTTCGTGCTCTCTTGAGAACATCTCCCACTATGGCTAAGTAAAAGTGTAGTTAAAGTCGTTAACAGTGCGATATTGGACCATCGGGTGCGAACCGGCCACAAAGCCAGCCACCGTTGAAGAATCCTTCTCTATCATCTACCAGGTGTCTAATAAATTGCCAAAATCATTGAAGGTTATGGAAAAGAGTACTCTTTGTTCAGTATCCATTCTTTTGAAAACAATTTTAATGGGCATCTTTAATCAGCTATATTTATTTATTTTTGTTTTATAGCTATACATAAATACACTTCGAATAATCATGAAATTAAATGGATGTCAGATGGGACTGTGTATTTAGTGACAAAAGCAGCTGAACCATTCGGAAAAATTCGATTACATGGTGGTTTAAGTAAGTCCATTTTGTTGTTTGAAGTTTTTAAAAAGAAATTTATTTCTGACTTTCTTGTTGAGTGGGTTTGATTTGGAATGAAATTTTCGACCCCCGGTTGGAGTCATTTTGGCGGATAGTAGGGACGTTTTGATAAGGATTGTCTAAGGATTAACTTGTAGTGATTTTCTACCGGGGGTGTTGGGGCAGTGGGTAATAATGCGGATGAGTTGTGATGTTCCCAGAGAGATTCGAACCCTTACTACCTATTGCTTCAAACACCAAATCAGTTATCCACTAGATCACTCAGGCTACGAGAGGCATATCTTGTGCCAATGACTGTCAGTTATTATTTCCGAAGAAAATGTTGCCTTTTAGAGTGATTTGATAACATTAGAGGACAAATTACATAGCGGGAGTGAGGTGGGGAGATTAAATCTGAATGACCTGACTCCATAGGATTGTTCACAAATTGAAGACTTTATCGTCTTTTGCTTGCTTTTGGTTAACCAAACCGTGTAATGTTCAGTTACACGTTTATGCAGAACATATGTACTACTTCCAGTTTATCAGCTCTACACATTGCATGTAGATGAGTATATGCATATATGTAACAACAGAAGACAGGGAGGTCAAGGTACATTTTTCATAAATCGAACCGCATTGTCTATATCACACCACCACATATAAAGATGGACATAAGCGGTAGTTTATCCTTAATGCATTGCCGAATCATATTTTGCTTGGTGAACACCAAATGTAAGTCGGCTGCATAAAAAAAGCGTTTAATACATTCATATAAATAACTTTTAATGACTTCAGAGATAGTGTCACCTATGAATGCCAAACTCATTAATTGTCCTCTTTGTCATTGTGATTTGCCTGGAGATGTTTGCTCTATTGATGTTTCTGTTAGTAAACCTCCTACGTAATCCATTATTTAGGAGAACTGTGCTAGGGTTTTCTAGTTTTGTATGTCGACCGTATCTATAGAGAAAGTTTTCCAAATTCTGCTGCATATAAAAAAACTGTTGAAATTAGTATACTGCCCTGCAAATGTTGGCTTTCGGTAAATTGACCTTCTGTCTAGCGTCACATACAAGAAGCGAAATGTGAAATTCGACTCTCCTTCGATAGTGAAAAGCACTGATGGATAAAAATCATGAAATTTTTCCAAGAAGCCCAGCCGCTAAACAATTGTCATCATAAATAATGAAGGCGTTGTCAATATACAGATCATACTTTATGCGATAGTTTTAATTGGCATTTATTTGATATTCAAACAAGTAATATATGTGTAAAATGCATCTCATCCAGCAGTTGTACAACAACGCTGCATGCCAACTTACGGAATCCTTCGAAAAAAAAAGACGGCTGCCGACTATCGCCAATGATTTCCTTGATTGCAGTAGATTGGACTATGCGACAGACAACAGGCAGCGAGGAAACAGGCATAAAATGGACCCACAGAAAAAATCAGGGGATCCAAACTTCGCCGATGATATATGTCTGATTTCACACAAACTAGAAGATATGCAAGTGAAAAGCAACAAGCTGACAGAGAAAGAAGCATCCGGAGAATGTGGGACTTCAGGTGAACTTAGATAAAACAGAAGTGATGAAGTTTCCTGGCCAACACTAACAGCAACAACAACAACAGACAACAATCAGCCAGCATAAATGGGAGAAGCTTGAAAGAAACAACCTCCTTCACCTACCTGGGAGGCATCCTTTCAACTACAGGCGGAACTGACGAGGATATCAAAGCAAGGATAAGAGAGGCAAGACAATCTTTCATTACTCTTAGGCCTGTGCGGAGGTCAACAGCACTCAGCAATCAGCACGAAGATGAAAATGAGATCCGCATTTTCAACTCCAATGTGAAGTCAGTGCCACTAACTCTACGGATCAGAGACTTGGTGCATCCTGAAGAGCACTTCAAACAAACTACAGACCTTCATCAACAGCTGCCTTCGCCCAATACTCAAGTTGAGATAGTCAGGAAAGACTAGCAACAGGGATCTCTGAGAGTAAACCAACCAGAAACCGAGTATGCGACAATTAAGGAGGAAGAAATGGAGGTGGATTGGCCATACTCTGAGAAAACCACCAAGCGAGTTACATCACACGCTAGGCAGTTGGTCGAGTGGAACCCGAGAGGGAAGCGATGAGTTGGTCGTCAGTATGAGGATGACTTGAAGGAGATGATGTGGAGAGGAGATGAAAGTATGTGGGCAGACTTGGAGCCAGGTGAAAAATTTAGCAAAGAACCGAACGGAACGGAGACACGTGGCTGAAGCCTTATGTTCCTCTAGGAAATATAGGAAATAATAATGTATAAAACATGGGCATTGTAGTAGTTTATAATTCTAAATTAATTTGTTTATTAGATATACTATACAGCCAGTGAAACAGTCTTATTATTATTCCTGGATGATGTAGTTTTGAACGCAGTTCATTATTGTTCATAATCATATCAGTCAACATTAACTTCACAACTTCAAAACCTTCATTTTATATTTTTCTTTAATCTTTCCTATTCGTTCTAATAATAAATAATAATTTTTCCTTCACGTTCCCAGTGGAACATAGGGCTCCAAGCTAGTGGCTTGAAGTTTCTGTAGCAGTGTTTAATTTTTACAGGATGGGGTTGCTAGCCTCATGCCCAAACTTTCCTCTTTACCAGCATTATTTCTGGCTCAGTGAGGTAAAGGAGTGCGCCGGCCGGGGATCGAACCCCGGACCATATGCATGGTCGGTGAGCGTGCTAACCGCTATACCACCGACGCACCCCTATTCGTTCCAGGGGTAGTCTAATTCTCAAGATGTTCAGTCAGACAGGTGTTGAATCATTTTTTATTTCGCATATTTGCGGTTGATCCGATAAATAAGGCTTCCGTTACCAATCTCTCCCTCCACCCTGCTGTTACATTAGATTTCAAAACTGTCATCTTATCCAGTCCTATTATATGTTTGTGTGTGTGTGTAATTGCATGTAGTGTGTACTTAGGCTGAACTATTGTCTAGACTTCTTACGTTATTGGGGTCAACTAATCTAGATTTTCAAGTATTGGTTTTGTAGGGATTTTGTTTGATTGCATGGAGGATTTAATCATGAGCTGACATCCCGGTGGGTGCGTACTGCTGAAGAGTCCCAAACTAGGGCGAAACAGCTATCTAGTACTCCCAGGTTTTCCAGTGGTTCTCTAACTGATGTCAGCTCATGATTAAATCCTCCATGTAATCTAGATTTTGTTAGTTTTTTGTGTTCCAGTAGTCTGACTGACCCTGTTCTACTACTTTGACCTGCGTATTTCAACTGAAAATAATTAAATGCAGTGTATTAGATAAACTAAATTGTTTTGTTTTTAAAGGCTCCATAGGATTGATCCTTTAACCGACAAAGCTTGTTTCTAATTGCGTTTGTGGGCTTGAATGCCAGCCACTTTTAGTCCTGCCTGCCATGTTAAGAATTCTGCGTAAGGTGTCTGAAGTTCCTTCTTTCCATAGAATTACTACTGATGACTTCGATTACCTATTTTTGGTGTTGTCATTACCCTGTACATGTTTGACATGCCTTTCGTCACTAAAATTACTATCACTATCACTATCACTACTATCATCATTTATTTTATTTTAACATTTCCCTGCATATGTCCTTACTAATTTATCAGGGTAAATATTAAGTTTCAAAGCTCCTCTTATATGTCTCACTTCCTGTCTTCAGTTTTCTTTGGTACTTAGTTTTTGTGCTCTGTCACTTAAACTATTCACCAATCCAAGTTTTACTGACACAGATTGCGTAGGATGATCGGAAGTCCAAATATCTGTTTGAATGTGTGCGTTTCCTGTAAACACCAGTGTGTGTTTAACTTCCCATCTTCTTTCCTTTTTACGTTGCAATCTAACATTGGAAGGTCCCCTTCCTGACCTTCCAATTCATAAGTGAATTGAATTGCCTCTATCTTCGAGTTGATTATTATCATTAATATTATTATAATGTTATTATTATGATTATTAAAATAGAATTAAACAAATAACCCTATTTTTGGTTATCTTTCTCTTAATTAACTCCAGGCAGTGTACCGTTAAGCAGAGGTTATCATCATTCTGCAGAGAGTAGTGATAGACCACCGCCTATCACACATTTATGCTTTGTTGTTCATGGTATAGGCCAACAATTAGCAAGTATACGTCATGAATGTGCAAAGTAAGTCATATTTATGCTATATATATGCTATTTGATTGGCAAAAGTATTTGTGATTTGTAATTTACGCCGGAGATGTTTAGAATTACCTGTTAGACGATATAGTTATTTCTGTTATTAAAATTATTGTGAGTTCTAAGTGGTACTATCAGGAGTAATTAACTTCTTAGAAGTAATAACACCCACTTTCATAAACACGCAGAAGTAACCTCATTCTTATTAAATATATAAGCTGCCTACTGTATCCAATGATTTTCCTGATTGAGGTACACTGTATAATTTCGATAAACAGCGGGCAACGAGGAGAAAGGTATAAAACGGACCCATAAAACAACCTTGGAGGATCTGGACTTCGCCAATGATATATGTCTGATTTCCCACAAACTGGAAGATATGCAAGTGAAAAGCAACAAGTGAGAAGAAGCATCATAGATAGGACTTCAGGTAAGCATGAAGAAAACAGAGGTGATGAAGATCCCTGGCCAACAGAAACAGCATCGGATAACAGTCAGTCAGCATAAATGGGAGAAATCTGAAAGAAGCAACCTCCTTCACCTACCTACCTACCTATCTTGAAAGCATCGTTTCAATTACAATACTCAGGAACAGATGGCCAGCCCTAAAACATCAGCAAAACGGATCTCTGGCAATGAACGAACCAACCAGGAACCGATTGTGCCACAAATATGCAGGAAGGAATGCGGGTGGATTGGCTTGCCATACTCTGAGAAAACAAACCATCAAGTGAGTGACATCACACGCTTAGCCACTGCTTGGGTGGAACCTGAAAGGGGAGCGAAGAGACGGCTGTTAGTGTAAGGGTGACATGGACGAAGTTATGTGAAGAAGAGATGAAAGCGTGTAGCAGACGTGGAGCCAGGTGCAAACGTTGTCAGAGAACAGAAAGCAATGGAAACGTGTGTCTGAATCCCTATGTTCCTCCAAGAACTAAACTAAACAGTAAGAGTAATAAAATAATAGTAACTATATCACATGATTTTGGAGGAAAGGTAGAATGCAGACGCCCTTGGTAGGTGACAGTTAGTTTAAATTTGTAAATAGGCATTATTGAATGAATTAATCAATCTATTGAATAAATTACTATAAGAGGTCAGTCGAAGTCTCTAACTTTTCTCAATTTATCAATGATTAATACACATACTCACCTACAAGCGGATATGGCCAGTGCTACGATTTCGGCTAGGTCATCTTGAAGAATGATTCACACGGCTGAGCATCAATGTTTTCCAATTTTGGAGGCTGAGAATTATTTTTGTCTTGGAATAGTATTGTTATTTCCCTTAATTCCTAGAGGAACATAGGGATTCAGCTGCAAGTCTCCATTGCGTTCTGTTCCCTGCTATGGTTTTCACCTGGCTCCAGGTCTGCTCACATGCTTTCATCTCCTTTTCACATGACCTCCTTCAAGTCACCCTTGCAGTGACGACCAACTCGTCGCATCCCTTTCAGGTTCCACTCAAGCTACTGCCAAGCGTGTGATGTCACTCGCTTGATGGTTTTCTTAAAGTATGGCTATTCCACCTCCACTTCTTCTTGCATATTTCCTGCACACTTGGTTTCTGTTGGGTTGGTTTTCTTATTTCCAAAGATCCCTGGCCATCTTATGTTGAGTGAAGTATTGAGCGAAGGCATGTGTTGATGAAGTTCTACAGTTTGTTTGAAGTGCTCTTCATGACGCCCCAAGTCTCTGATCCGTACTGTGAGCAGCACTGACTTCATACTGGAGTTGAAAATCTGGATCCCATCTTCATTTTCGTGCTGAGTGCTGTTGTCCTCCACACAGACCTGAGAGTAAAGAAAGCTTGCCTTGCTTTCCCGATCCTCGCTACTTTGATATCCTCATCAGTTCCGTCCACCTGTAGTTAAAACGATGTTGTTTTTTTCAGATTTCTCCCATTTATGCTGGCTGATCGTGGTCTGTTGTTGTTGTTGTTGTTGTTGCTGTTGGCCAGGAATCTTCATCACCTCTGTTTTCTCTGTGCTCACTTGTAGTCCTATCTTCGACGCTTCTTCCTCTGCCAACTTGTTGCTTTTCACTTGCATATAATCCAGTTTGTTGGAGATCAGACATATATCATCGGCGAAGTCCAGATCCTCCTCTACTGCAATCAGGAAAATCATTGGTAATAGTAGACAGGCTTGTCTTACTCCCGTCTTTATTTCGAAGGATTCCGTAAGTTTCCCGTTATGGATTACTTGGCATGCAGCGTTGTAATACAACTGTTTGATGAAATGTATATTTCTCAACTGAAAATTGAAATTATTTTTATGAGTTTTGTTTAAATCTTGTTTTGTTTATCTTTTGTTCTATTGTTTTAAAGATTTAGAAAAACATGTCAAAAAGTTGCTGAGAAATTATATCCAAAACTTTCAGAATCTGGTCAACGTCTTGAATTCATTCCTGTTAACTGGCGTAGTTCACTTTCATTAAATTCTAAAACATTGGACAATGTAACTATCGCTCAGTTGAGACCATTACGCGCCTATATTAATCAAAGTCTTGTCGATATATTATACTATACAAGTCCAGTTTATCGGCAGGTTATTATGCAAAGTTTAAGTTATGAATTAACACGCTTGTTCAACCTTTTCTGTACACATAATCCACAATTTCTTCAACGTGGTGGTCGTATCTCTGTGTTGGCGCATTCTTTGGGTAGTGTTATTATGCATGATATATTAAAAAGTTCAAATTCAAATTTCCCGGGATCATTATTTACCTCCATGACAGTAAGTTGAACATTATTGGTTTTTAATTATTCTCAAAGTTTAAAACAAGCATTAAACGTGTTAATAAAGCAGGCTGATTTAATGGATTCATCAAATTTTGGTAGAACTCGTCAGCTGAATACTTACTCTATATAGATACACCGATATATATATATATATATATATATATATATATACTATTGAAATTAAATTGGGAGATATAAAACTCATGAGCAAATAAACTACATTGGATTAAAAGAGTTAGTTCCCTTTATGAAGACGTAATTTGTCTGAATCGTGCTGTAATTTATTCGCGCAACACATTTTGAACAATCTGATCACACACACACAGACTTGTCATAGGATTATATATGAAATTAATAAAGAGGTAAGAGGTGAGAAAATAGACTTAGGTCAAGTTAAAATGACGTCACATGCCACTGTATTTACCAATTTGAATGTATGTGTGGACACACATAGACACACATAGGGAGGACTCATCGATTTCTGCAAGTAAGGGCTTTAGAGTAAATTCCTAAACGGCTCCAGAAACAAATGGAATCTTCAGAACCTAATAATGGTGAGAACAGGAGACCTAGCTCTTCTATTGAGAAACATATTATAGAGACAGGACAAAATTGACGTTAAAAGATCTTTTAAACCTATCTATAAAACGCGTATGGGGCGTTTCCTAAAGTTTGTGGAAGCCCTAGCTGGCAATTAGGAAGTTTAAGCCACCTTTATGCGTTCAAAGCGGCAATTCGTCATCACACTAAACCTTCCTTGCTAAACTTTGTTTTGATACCATAGCAGATATACTTTTACCTCTGCTATTTGGTTTAGTGGTCTCCATTGTTATTTTGACCTTGAATATGTCCTTTCAACTTGACCTAAGTGGTCTATTTTCTAACCTCTTAACTCTTTATTAATTTCATATATATTTGTATGACAAGTCCGTGTGTGATCAGATTGTTCGAAATATGTTGCGCGAATACATTACACACACGATTCAGACAAATTACATCTTCTTATTGCTTTATCTGCATTGAATTAATCATACGAAACGACCCATGTGAGTGTTCTCCAGGTCATGTTCAAATAGATAGGGGGAGAGGGAGTATGAGAGATTAAAATTAAGATAAATTGCATTACGCTACAATTACATCATTTAGATAAACAATTAGTCATAAGAGAATGTATCAAGAATTGCAAACAGATTAATATCAATAGTAATAGTTATAATAACAATAATAATTATAGTGTTGAAATGAGTTAAGATAATCCTACTGATAAAGGAAAGTTTTAAATGAATCAAGCATAACAATAATAAGAGGTAGAATAAAGTGTTGTTAATAATAATAATAACAACAGTTAATAAGTGAAATGTATTACCATGGTAGTAGATTCAGCGTCACAACCATCTCCTTTTGTACACGGACACCTGGTTTATAAACTCGAATTGCACAAGCTACTCGCGGAATTGCAAGCATCTTACTGTTTCCTGTCTGATGACAATAGTGAATGACTTGACAGCGTCGATATCATGTCCATATTCCACAAGATAATTTGTTATTGAGGATTTTGGCACTTTGCACTCAGCCGTTTTCAACCACTTTGGCAAATGCTCCATCATGATGTGAGCAGACAATCGCCTTTCTGTACGACCTATGCGTATTTGCTTCCACAAACACACGCATATTGATATACGCAGTTTGAAGTGGTCTAGTATTGGATAGTATCATTCTTTCCCAGATTTTTGAAGCCCTCGCTTGGTGGTGGTGGCGTTAAGGAAAACAAGTTTTGAAGCAAATACGTTCTCTTGTTGTAATCCTTGATATATTCTCTAATGACTAATTGTTTATCTAAGTGATGTAATTGAGACATAGTGCATTTTATCTTAATTTCAATCTCGCATACTCCCTCTCCCCACTATCTATTTGAACATGACGTGGAGAACATTCACATGGGTCGTTTTGCATGATTAATTCAATGGAGTTTATTTACTTATGAGTTTTATATCTCCCGATGTAATTTCAATAGTATATATATAGATATATCCCTGCATGTATAAAGAGTATTTAGATGACGAGTTCTACCGAAATTTGATGAATTCATTAAATCATCCTGCTTTATCAACACGTTTGTTGCTTGTTATGAATTCATATAGGGAAATAAATATTTTCTATTCTCAAAGTATTATTGTTATTATTAGTTCCTTGTGTTCCGAATGACAAAATGACGCTTCAATAACATATCGCCAGTTCATTTTCTTCTCTGTAGTCTAGTTCTACGTCGAACTACGAGTTTTCGAAGGCTTTCACCTCATCTTTACACAGTCGTCTCTGTGTCATCCTTGAAACCGCACTAAACTGGTGTCATTCTTCATTCATTCAGGTGTATCTCGGGAGCCTGAAACGTGATTTCACTCAAAAGGTTTTCCCAGTGAGTGTTTGATCCACCTTCTCTTTTTTTCAGTATATTTGTTGGTCGATAGGTTCTTGTTGAATCTTTTGCCAGAATGTCTTATTCCTAATTCTTTCCTGACTGGAGTCATCTGGGTTTTAGGGTTAAGAGAATTCTCCAGCCTGCTAGGAATACTTGTGGTGTTGTGCACAGCAAGTTTCTGGCAAACGTACACTGATCGACTTGACGTAAGTATTGGAAATCCGAATCTTGTTCCCTATGGGGAGTGCGTCAAATTTTCAGACTCACTGAAGATGAATTTCTTATTTATATATATTTAACAAAAGATGTATAGTAGTCCACTGTTGCGTAATACAGTGTGTGTGTGTGTGATGTGAGTGATATAATTACTTAGAAGTAGCTTCAAAAGTAAAAATAAAAGTTACAAATTACTTAATACTCAACGGCACACAGGAAGAAAGTGTTCTAAATTTAATAAGGTTCAAATTTCTATAGTTTTTGGTTTGTAAGGATTAGTTATGTTTTACGGGTTGATCACGGATTGATATCAGTTAGAGAACCATTGAAAACCAGCACTGGAGTACTGGACAGCTGCTGTTTCATCCTAGTTTGGGAATCATCGGCAGTACGCACCCACTGGGTTTCGAACCCAGGACCTTCCGGTTACAAGGCAAGCTAGCTCGTATACCATTCAGCCACTGGGACCCGATTCAATGGCTCGTGAATTCTAACTTCTACCAATTCGTGATTTAGCGTGACCCCAACCATATCAATCCGTGATCAACTCGTAAAACATAACTAATCCTTACAAACTAAAAACTATAGAAAGTTCATCTAATGCTCGCTAGTGACTTGCTACAGGTTGGAGTTTCTTGAGTTCTAATGAGAAGTCGTGACCAGTGAGGTCCAATTAGATGTCACGTGTGTGGATGGATGTCCCACCAACGACAATGGTTGGGGTCGCGCTAAATCACGAATTAGTAGAAGTTAGAATTCACGAGCCATTGAATCGGGTCCCAATGGCTGAATGGTATACGAGCTAGCTTGCCTTGTAACCGGAAGGTCCTGGGTTCGAAACCCAGTGGGTGCGTACTGCCGATGATTCCCAAACTAGGATGAAACAGCAGCTGTCCAGTACTCCCTGGTTTTCAAATGGTTCTCTAACTGATATCAATCCGTGATCATCTCGTAAAAGGTTCAAATTGTTATTGGGTGAGAAGAAAGGTGGTAGTTGAGCGTCAATTTAACAAGTGTGAAAAGAGAGTGAGAAAACGTACAAAAGGAACACAAGAGAGTGATGATAGTGAATGAATTATTCACGTACAAGCAAAGTAATAATTAAAAATAAAATCGTTTACAGAGAACGACTAATGAAGAAGTTAAAAAAAACTATAGTAGAATAAGAGACTGGACAAACTTTTTCTGTATACAAAGTTTGGGGGGTTGTATTGACGAATTACCCACACCGCCATACAAAAAACTTCGAAACTTGAAGCCCTTTGAACCCTTTGCTTGTATATGTGTGTAAAACTTGGACACTGTGGTAGTAAGTAATTACTTACTTAGGTGGTAAATCAAAGGTGGAGGTAATTCAATTCACTTGTGAATTGGAAAGTCAAGAAGGGTACTCTCCTAATTGTTAGATTATAGAATAGAAAGGAAAGAAGATGGGAAGTTAAACACACACTGGTGTTTACAGGAAACCCACACATTTAAATAGATATTTGGACTTCTGATCATCCCATCCTATAACAGTGAAAATAGGATTGGTGAAATGTTTAAGTGATAAAGTACAAAAACTTAGTAGTACCAAGAAAAATCTAAGACAAAAAGTGATACACATAAAAGCAGTCTTGAAACTTAATAATTACCCGGGTAAATTAGTCAGGAAATATGTAAGGAAATTTAAATATAAATGATAGTAGTAATGATAGTAGCGATAGTGATAGTAATAATATTAATGACGACATGTATGTCAAACATGCACAGAATAATGACAACACCAACAATGTGGAATCTAAGTCATAAGTAGTAATTCCATACAAGGAGGAAACCTCGGAAACCTTACGTAGAATTCTTAACAAGGCAGGAATAAAAGTGGCATTCAAACCCACAAATAATACCCTGCTTACATTGTCAGATCAGTGCGTCGGTGGTATAGCGGTTAGGACGTTTGCCGACCATGCATATGGTCCGGGGTTCGATCCCCGGCCGGCGCACTCCTTTACCTCACTGAGCCAGAAATAATGCTGGTAAAGAGGAAAGGTTGGACATGAGGCTAGCAACCCCATCCTGTAAAAATTAAACACTGCTACAGAAACTTCAAGCCACTAGCTTGGAGCCCTATGTTCCACTGGGAACGTGAAGGAAAAATTATTATTATTTATTCATTGTCAGATCAAATACATAAGTCAAACTAGTAGAAAAGGGGCAGTCAGACTAGCCGAACATAAAATCCAAGCAAAATCTAGATTGGTTGACCCGAATAAGATGAGAAATCTAGAGAATAGTTCAGCTATTGCACTACACCACATGCAGTCACACACAACCACATATTAGGATGGATGGGATAGGATGACACTTTTAAAATCCAATAG